CTGGCCAGCGATTTACACTGTCAGTCTGAACCCTGAGGCGCATTTCCCAAACCGGCGCTACGAATTGCATTGGTCTGGGTGCCTGAAACAATGCTTAGGACCCCTGTGTCGGTCAGGGGCTCACAGTGCCTAACAGGGGTCATATGTCGACTATTGACCCGGCGTCGGTCACGGGCTTTGTTTGAGAATGTCCGAAGAGGGCCGAATGGTCCTTCGGGACCAGAGATTAAGGGCCCGATTGGAAAATTTAAGGGCCCGAAGGGCGGGCTGTGTGTCACATTAGGAGCCCCCACCCGTAGGGCCTGTGACTACAAATGTCAGATGGTCTGTTGTGCCAACTGGAGATCCCTGAGGCAGAGCGTCCTCCATTTCGGCCGGATATTACGACACCGAATACCCGGCTCCTTGTCGGTGTGAGCTCTTGGAGACTATTTCCTAAGCAGAGACAAAACCGGGCCCGCGATTTGCAGTGGTCGGGCCCCTTCTTCTGTATTCAAGGGACTTCGATGGGGGCAAGGAACTTCTGTATCAGCCAGGGGCCCAGTGGCTAGCAGGGTGTTTTGTGTCAAAAAGGAGCTTCGAGTCGGCCAGAATAAGAATTGCAACAGGGACGTGGGCGGGACCCCCAATGACAGAGGATTTGTCGTATTGGTCGAGGCCTTCTGAAAACGAAAGGGGATATTATAGCCTATGATTAGCGTTCACATTGAAGCAATGAAAGGGTCCTGTGCCCGTTGGGACCCCAGTACCGAACTGTGGGCTCTCCAACCCGATTCCAGCATAAACCTGTTAAGCCAAACTGGAGTCTATGCGTCAGTTATTGAGCTATCTGCGGCGATCAGGGATGTTGTTGCGTTAATGAGGGTTCCCGTGTCGATCCGAGGCCATCTCCACGGGTCAGAAGGCCAAGCCGTCCTTAACATCAAATTGAAAATAGCGCCGGTGAAATATACGCCGGGACTACCTTCAAGATGAACGATTTGATATCCTAAAGCGTTCAAAGGCACTTCTTTCAGTTGCGTATCATTTCGAAGCCAGAAGACTGACTTTGTTCCCATGCACAGCGTAGTAGTTGACCGGTGGCCCGTCCGAGTGCGCATCACTCCCATCTGCTGGCCTATATGTGTACTATAGGTAACGCACCGTTTCCGCCAGGTGCCGACGGCGCCCCGTACCGAGAACACCGTGCAGGATCTCGACATCGCCAAAGTGGCTCAGGCCCGGCTGGCTCAGCTGAACAAACGCCTATTCGAGGACGGCGACCAGGAGGCGCGCTCCGTGCGCATGCTGCTGCTTCTGTTCACGCTGCACACCGTCTGCTGGCTGCCGTTCTACGTGGTGTACTCGCTCGACGCCCACGCGTCGGCCGAGTCGGTGCCGTTTCACGTCGTGGAGATGGTGTTAGTACGCTTGCACGCTCCATATTCACGACGCTCAGAAAGCACTTAGACTTATGTGGTGAATTTAAAAAGCGTGCGATGAAGACATGGGCAGCTGAATGATTTACAAATTGGATCACGTACCGCAATGAAAGCTTAACTAATGGCCATATTGTTTGCATTCCTCCCATACTTTTAACAGGCATAGAGACACACCCGTCGTGAACTTTGCCGACAACAATTAATGCTTTCAGCCATTACCTGGCCTTCTCAAGTTCGCCGCTGAATCCCATTATCTACTACTTCTTCAGCGTCGAGTTCAACATGATGATCCGGCACCTACTGAGGATAATGTGCTGTCGTCCAGGCGCTCTTCCCTCTGGGTACGTGTCAGCATTTAACAGGAACATGTCTTATAGTGGACAGCCTCAACGGAATTTACCTCAACCTAAGGGTATTTTTTTCCTCTAAGCGCATCTAACCAATAGCCATGCCGTGGGGAAACGAATTAACTATATTTAATTAACGTATGGATCGAAGTGCCATAAGTAACACGGTTTGTGTACGGCTTTATAAGTATCCTATATTCCAATGTTATGATCACACTAAGAAACAAACACTCAAAAGTACGGATGAGGTCAAAACACAAACGTCGTAGCCATTAGTTTAAAAACGGATTTATGAATCAACGTTCAATAGGATTGATAAGGTCGAAAGCGAAAACCAGCCTGAGCGGCAACTACAGCTTTCAAAACCGACAAGGCTTGTTGCGGCTAGAGGGGGGGGGGGGGAGGGGGGGAGGGCAGAGATGCCCGTCGGCCTCAACCATCGGCAACAAATGCACATTGGGCCGGTGACGTTGCATCGCATGAGGCGGCAGATAGAACTGTCATGCATTTGGGCTAAGCGTGTTCCTACCTCGTTACCTTCGACGTGCTCTAAAAGGAGCTGATAAGTATAATTGCAGATCGTCGCTAACACTGGACCTGGAGCGAATTCAGTTCCTGTCGGATCATCGGGAAGAACTAACAAGACTCGACATTTCCAGGTAAACAACGTCAAAAGCCGACCAACAATGGCAGACAAATCAAGCCAGGTGATGTGGATATGCAGGTAGACGCGAAAACCAAGCGTGATAAAAACAAAAACAAGTCAACCCTTGCACTCAGATAAGAATGTTTTGTAACGCAAAAACAGTTTGGAAGGAAGCCCAACCGACAGCTTCAAATAAATAAAGCCGAACACCCTAGCAGAATACCTAGGTGCCAAAGCGTTGACCTCCGCAGGGTGTACCTGGTCAGCGATAACACGATGAAGAACCAGACGCCTAAGGCGCCATTTCAGGAACGCGTTCTTTATCTGACCCAGAGGTTTTTAAAGCACGTTGATACCGACTGACTCATTCTGTTCCAGTAAAGTGAAGCAACCTGAAGTAAAAAAGTGAACGTCACCTGTTCACTGCTCGAATCATTTGTTTTACGTCACGCGTCTGTATAATTGTCACATAAGGCGCACAGCGGGCCTCGGCGGTTCGCCTGTGCTTTGCGTTAGCTAAAGCCCGGGTCGACTTCGGAATCAGTCAGATGCCATTCGGCTGAGGGTGGAATCGATTCTTTGAGATTTTCGCGTGAGTCGGAGTTCAGACAAACAAGTCACCAATGAGTTATCTTCAAGCTGCGTCGAGGAGTTTGCGCTTGAATCAAGACTATTCCCAAGTTGCGTCGAGCAGTTCGGAGTCAAAACCAGTACCATGTGTTCTGGGTCAGTGTTGCAATCGATTCTACTCAAACAAAGTCGAATAAGTCTGCATAACACCTAGAAGGCACAGAAGCCCACCACCACAGGGGGGTGGGACAAGGGCAGGCCGTCAAATACCAACTGTGTAGGGCACAGTGCCGAGCACCCGGGAACGGCCCTTCAAAACAGTAAAAGTAATAGATTAAAAACGGTGGCCTAGCCAAACCGCACCATAAATCTGCCTAGCGTCAGGCTTCTGATCAGCACCAGTGGCCAGACCACCCGGTGCCTGGCGCAGCTCTGTGTGACCGGTGACGGCCGGCCCTGCCCGCAGAGTGGGCGTCCGGACGGTCAGCGAGATGGCGGTGGACAGCCGGCCGTTCACCGACGACGTGGCAGTGGCAACTGGCGACGGCGGCAACGTCGAGCTTCTGAGCACGGGGGAGCTGCACGAGGTGGGGGAGTCCCAGGGGCCGTCCGGTGACCTGTACGACTGGAGGAGGCCGCCGCGCCGGCGCCACCGCCGCCACCGTCGGCGGCGCGGCAGCAGCCACTCGCCGGCGCCGGCCGCGCGGGCTGAGCCGGAGCCGCTGAGAGTCGAGTCGCTGGAGGGACCCGGGTCGACCGGCGGCGGCAGCCCGGCGTCCAGCAAGTCCAGTCTGCGGCGCGGCCGCGGCAGCTCGCTGCGCGGCAGCCACACCTCGGCCGAGCGCGTGCTCTCGCCGCGTGACGCCGAGTCCCGCAGTCAGTGGGGCCGGCAGGAGTGGCCATCGGCGGCAACGGCGGCGGCGGACGAGAGCGCCGCACTGACGCCCGAGCGGTCCGTCAGCGGCCGCAGTAGCCGCAGCGGCAGCACCAGCCGGCTGCGTGGTGTCATTGCCAGCCTGAAGAACCTGTTCCGGCGCGGCCGGCCGACCGAGGGCGACAGCGGTTCGCGCCAAGACCGCGTCCGGCCGTCAGACTCGAACCAGACGACAGGCGACGCCGAGCGGCGGCCGCGGCGCAGCCTCGGCGCCCGCGTGGCAGCGCTGTTCGCTCGACCAAAGGCGCCGCCTGTCGGCCGCGAGCGCACCACTTCCGAGATGTCGCTGGTGCGGCGCCTGGTGCGCATAGGACTGCCGGCCGGCGTGGTGCTGACGTCCGACGACCAGGGCCGCGGGCGGCTGGAAGGCGTGTGGCGCTCGCCCAGCGGCCGCACGCACCGGCTCGACCCGGACGACGACGACTACCCACGGTTGCTGGAGCGCATGGCCGGCCCGGGCAGCGGCTACCACAGCCCCACCGGCCAGCGCATCCACCACGTGTGCGCCGTCCACCACGTGCACCGCAGTTGCCACCACCACGACTGGCGGCACGCCGCGGCGCCGGCCGCCGCCACACCGCGGCACGCGTCAGTCGGCAATTGGGCCAGCGACCAGGGCTCTGTGCGCACGCGACCGGCGCCGGACCGCGCCACCGAGCAGCTGGGACCGCTGGTGAGCGTTAACGAGGCCGAGCTGGCCCGGTCGCCGCCGGGCGGGCTGCGGCTGGAGCTGACGCCGCACCAGGGCAGCGCCAGCAGCGCCGATTCCGACTACCAGGACCAGGTGAAGCAGGTCACCGACCTCTGAGCGGCGCCTCACACACAAACCGAACGGATGACTTCCTGTATTGAGACACAATATGAAATACAGCGGACGAGCGGGTTGGGCGTGTCTGTCCCGAAGGGACCTGGGCTCGATAGCCAGCAGGAGAGCACGCTGTGGTGACGCGCGCTGCCACGGCCGTCCGCGCCGTCGGCGCTGCCGGCGATGCTGCGGCGCTCAACGGCGACAGGCCAGTGTGCCCGGCTGGACCGGCTGCTGCCCGGCAGCGCCCGACACGCCGTGATGAGGGCGGACTGGTGCCGGACGGCTCACTTGCGGCGTCCTCCGCCCCAGCCGCCCCGGCCGCGGAAGCCGCCAGAGCGGCCACGTCCACGCGCAGCTGGCGGCAAACGAACAGCCGTCAGACACAGCCCATATGTGACACAACATGAAGACCAAGTGTTCTCTTAAAGGTCTTCGCATGCTGGCGACTTAGCCATCAGAACAAATGGAACCCCTTTACAGTACCCAAATGGCTGATCTCACAGATCAGCTGTGCACCACCAAAGTGCGTCCAACTAGATATTCTCTGGCCAGCTGCATCTACCATCTCATTTGTTCCTGTCACGGTCTTCCATGTACAGTCAGCCTCACAATATGGTTCAATTAACATACTCTTTTAAATGAACACAATGTATGTTGGCGGGCCAACAACTGCAGAGGTCATATGACCTCTGCGCTCAAAACAATAGTGATGCAGCAATATTTTTTATGGCATGCCTGGCATACTGTTCCATTATCTTATATATATATATATATATATATATATATATATATATATATATATATATATATATATATATATATAGGAAATGAACTTTCATCACATGCACAGAGAAATCTAGCACACAGGACCAGTGTGATTGAATATCATTTGATCTGAACAGTCATTAGCAAGTTCTGCACCAATTACTCAAAGCTTAATAATAAAAACATCCGTCAATCTCAATATCCACATGCGGTCAGGATCTGCCCATTCGCCAGCTAGACGTTGCTTTGCAAACAGCGACAACTTACTTGTGAAAAACACCCTTACTTTGCCTGTTGGGACAACTTAGAAACACTTAGTGGGACAACTTAGAAACACTTAGTGCTTGGGCCGTGACATCATAGGTAGTCAGAAAGCTACATCACACGTCAAATGGGCTTACTCCAAGTAGGGAGTCCCCTTCCATTTGCCAAGAACGAGCATCTGAGGCAGTGCACTCCAATACAAAAAGATGTGGCAGTGGTCATTGACTGTGGTGCAGGCATAAAAGTGTGACAACAGTAATTGACTGCAATGACTGTGCAGTTACTGTGATATCATTAAGGATTTGGCAGCAGGGAGATATCTGAACTATGCATGAGGATGTGATACTAGATATCACAGACAACTGGTCCATTGTGGTTGAGCCCAGTCACAAACTGCTGAGTCCTCTTCTCACTATACATTGGAGTTATAGCAGCATACACACATCACCAATGGCTGGTACATGTCAGGTAGCAGTGACTGCCTGTAGACTGGCTTTCCATCATGCAGCACAGGGTGCATGCAGTTGGTGCATTTGCACTAATCCATATACACCAGTGCTAACCAAATTTTCAATGATGTTACAGCATTCATACACTCTGGTTGATTGATCTGAATTCAGGTGTCACCCTATCCATCCAAAGCTTGAGGAGCTGAGCATAACCCCCTGGATGGCACTATGCCATCTTTCCCCACCACCCCACACCACTGACACCATGTCAGTATTAGTTGGCATCATCAGGGTTGTACAGGGTGTGTTAACATATGTACAAATCAATCATTTGTAAAGTGAGGCAATGTCAGATTGGGCACAGTGTGTCACAGCTATTGTCATTCATATTTTATCTGTAGTCTTCTCCTATGGGAAAGCCCGGGTTGCAAAAGCAGAAAAGTCCCAAAAAATGGTAAAAGGGATATCAAAATTATTTGTTTGCAATTGTTATGCAGAAAGCAATACACATGTCATACAGTGCCAAAGCCACCATCATAAGATTAACACCTAATGAAAGCATTGTGCTAGTCAACAAGCAGGCATAAAATGCAAACAGACCACCACATACCTTGAGCTCTGAGAATGGCTGACTTTCCTCTGCCTGCCCCTCCAGTAGGTCCCTTTTGTCCCTGAAATCATACATCATTGTTAATTGTCATAGAGATCCTGCATAAAAAGCAGATCTTGCACTACTAGTTTCACCAGATTACTGTTTCCTGCTGTCTTAGTTGAAGATATAGAATGCTTTGGATGAATGGGGTGCAGGTGGAAACAAAAGACAGGAAATAGATTGCGTATGATCAACTAGGTATGCCTATAATTGAACACAACTGCTTTAAGTTAAGCTAAGCCTGCAAAGACGACGTGGAGCGGTCTAGCAAATCATAATACAAGTCATAGGTGCAGGTCAATTTACAAAGCTATAATGACATATTGAAAGTTAAAAAAATGTTCAACACAAACCATCTAACCTGCATATGAAGCTGCCCATGGATGAGCAGAAACAACAGTCTTGTATTACAGACATGCTCAAAGGTCCTTTTATGCCACCCACAATGTGCAAATACACACAAGTAGATACTACAGTTAGCAAGCCATGGCAAGGACATTCACACCATGTTCAGTACCACCTGAATCTTGCTCCTAATGGGGTCACCTGCCCCTTCCTAGCATCAGCTCCTGCTAGCCTAACCTGACCTAACCAAACCCCAAACAATGGTCAGAAGGTAGCATGGGATACCCAAAAAGGTGGTATTAACAGCCCAGCTTCAGAACTTTCAGTCACAAATTTTAAGGTTACTCTAAACTGTGTTTTCTGATGAAAAACTGGCCAGCAAGATCTTATCAAGATCTGCCATAGTCTGCACATTAGCAAGTACCCACCAGGCTTCAAACCAGACTGCACCAAAATACATGTTAAACTAAACATGTATTGCAAAGCAACAATATCACTGCTAACATACAAGTACATTTCCTAAATGGGGGCAATCACAGTTTGATACACAGTTGCTATTAAACTCAGAGCCAAGATACAATACTTCAAGGAATGGTGTTTAAACAACAGTTTCAGGCAAAACCTTGTCAAATGACTTTTCACGCCAACAACATGATAAAATCCTGTACAATTTAGCCTTGGCTAGGTTTGGCAGACATGCACCATGTTCAGGGCATTGATACTGATCAGCTGCCAGGCACAAACACACATTTTTTTCAAAACTAATAAAAGAAGATTGTATAAAACTAACTTACCTTGAAGTTTTTGAACATGGGAGCATTTTTCAACATGTCAGGCAGAATCAGAAAACGAACTTTTGATCCCCGTATGTACACGTTTTCCAACTGCGCAACTCTCCCATCTCTGTATGTTACTGTGATGTTGGCCATCTGACAATTCATGTTGTCTTCTGCTTCAATCAACTTTCCTCTGTAAACTTCACCAGTGTTGCTTTCAAGTGTCACTATATGACCCTCGGCTTCATGGAGGACCTTGATGGGCACACCAATCGACATCTTCAAGCACGATGTTTAGCGATCTTTGAGGACGATAAGTGTAGCGTTAGGCACAGCGGGTTCAGTACAAAAGTAACTGCCTCTTAAAAACTGACAAATCCTTCGGCAAACGGTCTACAGGCTTTAAACACACACTGATATATAACGCCGAAAGTCCCCACGGCCAACGTTCCCTACACTCGCGCCGTGCGCCGCGCCACACGCCGTGCCTAAACGTTATGGTGCATGCGAGCATTGCGCTCTTGAGACCATCTAGTATCAAGCATGCCATGATAACGTTCTTTTTGTCTGTTTAAGCGTTAGTGTTGATATAAACTTGGATTAAATAAAATAAATACATTTTTAAAGTTTGTTTGTGTTAACAGTTTTCTGAAATAGTATTTCCACAATTTGATTGATTTACCTCACTAGAGTTCATTACTCCCAGCAGCATTTTTTCCTTCACTGTGAAGAGACGCTGAGCCATTTTCAAAACGATGCTTTTGAGGTATGCTAAATCTATCAGACACATGGCTTCAAATAAAAGACATTTCTCAAAACACGAAAAAAGATATTTTCAAACCGCGGTTGCATGTTTCAACTCGCACAAATTTTGGAATTGATGTCTTAATGTTTGTATCCCAGCGGTTCACGGGAAAACGGTAAATATGGTAGCAACTTCTAGCTACTCAATGGCGTCCCTGCGTCCATCTCCACAGGCTTCGTCGGTTTCGTCACCCGACTCCCACTGTTTGTGATAGGGGGTTCTCCCATCCCACGCTATACGCTTCCGGTCGATTCATATCCGCTTCAGAGACGGAAGTAAGACGTCATTGTCGTGGGTGCTCTCGGCGCGGGTGAGCTCCCGACGTCATTGAAGCGTCTGAGCCGCTACGGGAGGGAGCAGGCAACCGACATGCCTGTGTTGTGATGACGCTAGGTCAAGTCCCTAGTAAAGGAACTTGAGTTTGGACATGTCAACCTCAGCATTGGAACTTAAGCTTCACAGCCCAGCAGGGTCGGAACCAGCCATCTTTACGTGGCCGTTGCCAACCGGCACATCGGTGAGAAGCTTCGTGATTGCGTGTGGCATAGAGGCCAGTCTCGTGGTCAGAATCGTGGTACATTAAGACTAGTGGGTCTATTTTGAATGAGTTGCTTCTAAATGATGTCGAGGTGGCTTTGGGTTTGGGCAACTGGCTAACCGAACTTATTTGTACCCAGAACCTTTCACTGGAGGTGGGGTGATCTGGATTTTCATGTAGATTTGCCTTCTGCCCTTCTGGCCATGGCAGATAACATTGATAGTGAGGCTGCATGCATTTTGGCTGGAAGGGGGGGGGGGGGGCAACACATGATGGCAGAGGGCTTGGTGTGTCAGCATTCTTGATAGAGGCAATTTTTTGTCCAACAATTTGGAAGTATTGAAGCTTAGGTGCATGTTAAGCACCCTGACATAATATTAGTTAATGCATTACCAAAGCTTAGCACCACTCTCAAGCTGCAAGTTTTGCTATCATTCAAAAGTTCCAGGTCTACCTGACATTTTATCCAATAATAGGCAAGTACAGAGCAGCTGCTTAAAGGGGCATCATTCATGTGCATGATCCCATCTGCAAATGGTGGCAGACTAGTCAACAAGATGTTTAGTGTGGGTGTGACCATGTTCCAAATGGGATAGTCAACTTTTCTGCTTGGGTCAAGGGCTTATGATTTGAAGTCAGGGAGTGGGGTCTCCAAGATGTTCAGGATTATCTGATTCACATCTACTGGCTACTTATTACTTTTGCTGCTATGTGTTTCTGATAGGTCAGAGCCATAGTTAGGTTGCCAGCCAAATTCTTTTGCATTATACCTGTGCATTATCAAACACACAATGTTTTGGCTTGCATCAAACCAGTTTGCATTTTACAATGCAACTGATAGGATTTGGAGGTTTTGGTGCTGCCATGCTGACTACTGGCCAATGAGTCATGCCATTATTAGTGCCTGATTTATTAGTTCAGAGCAAGTAGCAGAAGCTGGCAAGAACAAAAATCTTCATGCATGAGCAAGATATGGGTCCAAAATTCTTGATGCAGTTAGTGAGTTTCTGGCTGCAGAGGCTGGACAAGCAGCTGCATGCAGAACCACGTAGGATAATAAGGCAGTGATTAAGTTGGTAAACTCCAAGGAGATATCACTTGCTTTTCAGGGCTCAGAAAATGGGTTTCTATCTTAAGCTCTCAAAAACTGGATTAATCATTAGTTCAAGGATATTGTTTAGAAACTTATGCTGTTTATGCATAAGCATGCTTAAATGCTGCCTTGCCATATATGATAATACCAGCATCTATCCCGGAGTTTTTCTGAGATTGTTTTCCCACCATCAGTGCAGTTAAAAGATATGGTACATTCTTCACAGAAGTGTTGTGTGTGCATGCACATGCCAGGTGATGATGATGTCATTGTCAAGTGAACTGGATTTCTTTGTTTTTTGTTGCATGCTTTTGAAAACATCACTAGGATACCAAAAAAGGGAAGCAAATATCTAAAACCATGCTATAACCTGAGAACGGTTTTACAAAATAAGTTGGGAGCTGGCCAAACCATGACAAATTATGACACCACTACTAGTGCTACCTTGAAGGTATATGCAGCATACAGGCTTCTGTCCAGGCTTAGCACACTCATCGCTTCTTTCAAAGTTGGGGGACTTGGAGACCAACTTGTGGGGGGGGGGGGGGGGGAGGGCTGAAACCCCCCTCCCTCCTACCCCAGCTTAGCAGCAAGCTTTGTCTATCTTGCATTTCAAGTTACTGCATTTGAAATGTGCCAAACTTTTTAGGAAATTACAGGATTCAGGGAGGTACATCAGTGGTGTGGTGAAGTCACTGCTGACATAACCTGTACTTTGATTAGGCCTGTCTGTATGATAAGGTGTGGTTGACATCACTGATGCATAAAAAAGTATTCCAAATCTAAAAGGAACATTTGGGAAGATGGCATCATGCTCCAAATATATTTATTTCCACTCTCTTGATTAGGACAGGAGTCAGGAGCAGACTGCACTGAAATAGAATGTAAGGGGCTGAAAATTTTAGGATGGAGAAACTATGCCTATAAAGGACAGACAAGGCTGTTGGGGGGCATCAGCAACCATGCAACCAGACCAGACCGGGCTGAATGAGAGCTGGCTGTATGGGGGCAAAATGTCCCAGTTGGGAGCCTTCAAGATGGATAGCCAAATGTTTCAAAGCAATTGTTTTCATTTTGAATTTGGGACCCCCTGCCGTGCTGAACCTCCTGGTTGTCACCATGGCCATCTGACTGACACCAGGTCCCAGGTTGAAGGCTCTCATCTGATATATTTTGCCCTGATACGCCCAGTCCCATTCGGTCCAGTCTGGTCTCATTGCATGGCTGTTGCACAGTTACTTTGTTATCAGCTTTGCCTGTCCTTTGTATCTGCTGTTTGATCTATTCTAATATTGTTCAGCCCCTCCTGCTCGATTTCGGTGCAACCTGATGCCAACCTTTCTTCAGTGTGAAAAGTGATGATATGAGTGTTTGGCCACATCACCAAGCACGTTTTAGCATTTTGTAGGTACTTTGCATGTTGGTGACTTTATATGTGCCCCTAGGTACCATGACCTTTCCTGACATGGCATAAGCTACACCAGTCAAAGAATGCCTACCCCAAAATCTTCAAAGCATATGAATTGTCTGCACCCTGTCCCGACATGATCAAGCAAAAGTCTTCCACATTCTGGAAACTGGTGTGTAATAATGTAAGATCATCTCTAGCATATTGATATGCAAATTTGCAAGGAAATGTGGGTTTAAATTACATCACAAGCCTTAGGTAAGCTGCTCACTGGGGGTGTGTACATCAGCCTGACTGGATGGTGGCATTTCAATAAATATTGTGTTCCATGTTCATAGAAGCTGCATGCAGGGAACCAAGACAGATATTCAGAGTCATGGGCTTCCCTTAAGAGAAATGAACTGGATGACAGGCCTATTAAGTGCTTGCCAGAGCCATTTTACTCACACATGGTCCTTAACTGTGCCAGTAACCTCTTACCACAGCACATTAAGTTTCTTGGTGTGATGATGTCATATGAAGAATAATTGTAATAATTAAATTTGATAAAATAATTTAATGATAATAGTAATTCAATACAATAATTTATTTTAATTAATTTTATGTTTTTAAATAATTTTAAAGAATAATTTAAAGAATAATTTCAATGTTATCAAACATTACATGTTTCATCTGGTGATATGAAGTAACATGAAAAACAACTGAAAACATATGTATGTTCAAACTGTTGTTCAGCCTTTTGGGCATGCTCATCTGCTTTGTGGTGGGAGAAGTGTCAAGATAGTTGGTCATGTGTGATGCGGTCTGCTCAGAAAAGCCATGTTTGGTATCCATAAATGTATAACATCTTGATTAAGTAACACAATGGTGTGATGGAAAGTGAGGGTGGTAAAAGTGTGAAGTGTCACTAGCTTCTGATAAAAGTTATGTTGGATCACAATATTGCTACAGTTTGAATTGTTACAGGCATAATCATTTCTGCATGTTGCCTAAGCTGTACTTAGTGGCAAGATTGGTGCAGGTTATGGGACAAGGTCCCAGATTTTCAATGCTCATTGTGATATGGTGTGCAATGTCACTAAAATTGTTGCCTTAATCATGACCCTTTATTTACAGAAAAAGGGAAAGGAGCATGATGGAGCCCTGGAAATTGTTGACACCATCAGGTAGGTTATGTGAATGGTGATAGTGATCACACACATTGTAATGGTGGCCATGTGTGCCATCTGGGTGAAGTGAATAACCATTGTACTGTAGTTGGTGAAGTACTTTTCATTATGTTGCTGTGCATAGTGAGGAAGGAGTGAGGGTTGGGGCAGGGGACACTCAGACCCAGCTCCCCAATCTGTCAAGTGTGCTCATGTGGCACTGCAAGTCATGTGGACATCCTAGACACACATATATATATATATATATATATATATATATATATATATTTAAAGTGAAGGTCTGAAATATTTGGGGACATGGGGTCCCCTGAAATTCCAATACCAACCAGCCTGGGGTACTAAGCTTGGCAGGATCCGCTTGGCACTAGTTGGCATGACCGCAATACAACCAAATTCACTGAAGTCCAAATATGCCTGTGGTGAGGAAAAGAGTGCCTGATGCTGCATTGTTTCACAAAGATTCCAAAGCTAATGTCATACAGGTGATCCAAGAAAAGAAAGATTCCAGAACACTTTAAAACAAATCTCAGATGAACAAGCTAAGGAGGCTATGGATAGACATTGAGGATGTCTGTAGCTGTTGTGAGATGCAGGACTTCATAAGGGTCATGTTGGTTGGACCTGCTTGTCTACCCCACCCCTTGTGTGTCCATCCCAACCCTTCATGAGAGCCCTATTTTTGAGCCTCTTGGCATCCCATTGTACCATTCACATGATACCATGGGGCAGTTTGGTCTCAGTCAGTGCTGATGCTTTATGCACTGGTGTTTCTGTTTTCCAGATGGGTTTGTCAAGACTTTCCAGAGCTCAAGATGGCGATGGAAATCAATATACTCAGCCAGTATGACACCAAGAGGTAGGTTGTCAGCATTTTTCAGTGACTGGCACATATGTTGATTAAGACTCCAGATTGTTTTTGCTGGTGATATGTGCACACCCTGTGGTCAGTCTGTATATGAACCAATGTCTGGTCTCTCACACACCCCATGATGATAAGCTGACAGGTGAACTTATGCAATTGCTTGTTCTGTGCACATACAGGGTCATATCTTTTATTTGAAGCAATAATAGGGTGCCACTAGAGCAGTGCCAACATACAGTGCCATTTGATGGTTTACTTACAGCCATTATGTGGTGTCATTAGAGCAGTGTCAACATATGTTATCATTAGATGTTGTGTTTACAGCCAATCATGCAGTATTAGGTAATGTGATGCTACATTTGCATTGCTTATCTTTACAGCTCTTTTTCATTATATTGGAATCAGTAAATATTTGCTCAATTTGACATTGTTGTAAATATGTAAACACATTTTTGTTTCTGTTTCAGCTATGAAAGCATGAAAAATCTTTGTGATAGGTACAACAGAGCAATTGACAGCATACTTCAGCTGGTATGTCTTTGTGCATTGTCATATACCCTTGTATTTATAAGCTACAGAGGTGTGTTTTCCCAAGTTCCTTGACCAATACATGCACTTGGTACATCTCCTGAAATGGATGTTTGCTTGGGTCTGTGCTGTCACTGATTGATTGTTCTGGAAAAAAAATGTGTGGTTATCTTAAACCCTGCACACTGACCAGTTTTTGACTCTGAATGAATGCCCTTCTTTAAAAAATGTGTGGTTGGCATAAGTCTTGCACACTGAGGGGTTTTCGATTGTGTGAATGAATGCAAGTAGAATGCTGCTATGTTGATGCGACATGCATGCCACGTTGATATGGCGGGAGATTGCACCGCCGCCGCTGCGGCGTCGCGTGCTGACGGCTGTCGCGCCGCAGGAGCGGGGCACCTCCCGACCGGCACAGCGCTTCAACAAGAGGCCGTCGCGCGACCTGCTGCGCCACATCATCCAGCAGGTGTACAACCAGGCCGTGGAAGACCCAGACCGGCTGAATCAGTACGAGCCCTTCTCGCCCGAGGTCAGTACTACTGGTTTGACGTCAGTGGGACCTGCTGGGGCTGATCCGTTCTCATCTGAGCTCATTATGAACCCTTTCCACTCGAGGTCAGTGCGGCCCATGTCGTCCCGAGGTCAGGTTACGTCCGAGGTGCGTGGACAGGTGGCACGGGCCTTCTCGCCGCCATCCGCTCTCTCCGCAGGCGGGTGCCGTACCGCGTTCGGTCGGCCGTGGCGGCAGGCGCTCCCAGCGATGGCCTGTCGCGATGTGTGATGCGATCGCAGTGTGGATATCCGACGCGACTAGGAGCCGGCGAGCGTGCGTGGTTCGCTCCGTCACCCGGCCGGCGGGGACAGCTCTGTCCTGCTGGTGCGGACGGCCACAGATGGTGACCTGATGTGTCGCCGCCGGCCTGGCCTGACCTGACCTGACCTGACCTGACCTGAACTGACCCGGCGCTGTGTTGCCAGGTGTACGGCGAGACGTCGTTCGACCTGATCTGCCAGATGATCGACCAGCGGCCGCTGACCGAGAACGACGTGTTTATCGACCTGGGCTCCGGGGTGGGCCAGGTCATCCTGCAGATGGCGGCTGCCACGCCCTGCAAGATCTGCGTCGGCATCGAGAAGGCCGAGACGCCCTGCCGATACGCCAAGGTGGGACACGTGTAGTGTAGAACGGCTCTCTGAATTCGTAATAACCTAGTGCCCGAATGTCGGCTTTAGCTTCCTTTATGGAGTTCGGACCACATATTGGGTGCCGCTAAATCCTTATCTCGGATCACACACTGTTTGATCTGCTCACATTTTGATTTCACTGGAATGTTGCTGACCTGAGCCGGGGGGCGTTTTGGCCGCGGCCTACGCTGAGCGCTGCTCACTTCCACTTCCCCTCCGTTATACAGGCGCTGGACAAGAACTTCCGGCAGTGGATGAAGTGGTACGGCAAGAAGCACAGCGACTATCAATTGATTGAGGGAGACTTCCTGAAGCAGGAGCACCGCGAAAAGATCACATCAGCGACGCTGGTGTTCGTCAACAACTTCGCGTTCGGTCCCACCGTCGACCACCACCTGAAGACCATCTTCCAAGACCTGAAGGACGGCGCACGCATCGTCTCTTCGAAGGCGTTCTGTCCGCTCAACTTCCGCATGTCGGACAGAAACCTGAGCGGTGGGTTAGGAGGTCCCGGCTGGCCGCCAGCGGCCCGGCCGGTCCAGCTCCTCGCATTAGTTGATCACACACATGAGCTGCCAACGTCATCACAAGTTTGCGTTGAAATGCCAGCCACCGCACACTGGGGCCACTCAGTCGGTGTGCGCCTGGCGACGCGGCGCTGAGCTGGGCTTGTGTTGCAGACATCGGCACCATCATGCACATCACGGAGCTGGCCCCGGTGCTGGGCTCCGTCTCCTGGACCGGCAAGCCCGTCTCGTACTTCATGCAGGAGATAGACCGCACCAAGCTCGAGCGCTACTTCCAGAAGCTGAAGAATCCGGTGAGTGGCACGGATGACCTAGAGTTCTCACAGTGTGTGGTGCGGTTTTGGACAGGAAAGTCAACTTACATGCTGTGTATGTAGGAGAAAATAAATCCATTCAGTTACGTTGTAATTGTACGCCATTACGCTGCCGTCCCCGTGAAAAGATCTTACGAGTAACGGACGCGGACAGCTATGTAAGACCAACACCGTTGACTCGGTTATCGTGCTACGCTCGATCGGGCTGTGGAGGCCGTGACACGCGGCCGGCCAGCGTGTGAGAGACGGGACGCGCCTGGCGCCGGTAGGAGGACGACTCAGGCGGTTCGTCAGGCCGCAGCAGCCGCTCGGCCACCCGGCGCTCCGATGCCAAGTCCCTGCTGCTGGACTCCAGCAGCGGCGACTCGGACGCCAAGGAGGCCGGTAGGTGTGAGGATGAGATGCCGCGGCCCCCGCCGCCGCCGCCGCCACCGCCGCCGCCGCCCGGCCCAACCACGCGTCGCGCCTGGACCTCGTGGGTGGCGCGCCACCCGGCGCAGGCCGTGGCGTCGGCGCCCGCTTCCCCGCCAGCTCCGCCGCCGCCGCCGCCGCCACCGCCGCCGTCTCCTCCTCTGCCGCCGCCGCCGCAGCCGCCGCAGCAGCCACACTCGCCGCCGCCCGACTCACCACCGCCAGCCGTCTCGGACCACGACGGCGACGCCGAGGACGAGCCGGAGCTGCGGCCCGGCCGCCCACGGCGCGCCGGTGAGTGCGGCGCCGCGTGTGCATGACCACGCCCGCCCGTAGCTAGACGGTCGTGTGCGCTGGCCGGTCTGAGAGTGGCCTGGCCGTCTCTGTCTGTCCCTCTCTTTTGTTTGGTCCTGCACGCGGCGCCCGCTCGTCCGGCGCGTGCCCGCGGCTCCGGCTCGTCCGTCCGTTCGGCTGTCTGACGTGTGCCGGCGCTTTTAGTGGGCTGCTGCGGTGCCGGCTACGGCGGCGCGTCCTGCTCCACGCGCGAGCGGCGCGGCGGTGTCCGCCCCGCACCGACTCCCGTAGTGCATGACGGGCGGCGGCGGCGGCGAGCCGGCCGTCCCAGGTTTGGCGGCCGCCGGTGCGACCCTGGCTCGGGCGGCCCGGCCCGCTCTCGCTCCCATAACGTCACTATCTGTGTTTCTTGTAGACAGCATGAATTAACGTCCTCTGGTTTGTTTGAGTACGGTCGAGTTGGATGCAAAGTTGTGGAGTTCAGAGTCCGTGAGCGCTTACGTTGATGCTCCATTGTTTGCGTTGCTAGGCGTGACAGCATTCACGTTGCATTTCAACTGTTTCCATAATGGCCTCGTTATGCTGCTGCGACGAAACCAGGTGTACAGTTGGTTATTATGACTGGCACCACTTACCACATTTTGCCGCTTATTTCGAAGACGTGTATTTCACAAAGTTGGCACACCTGATTTCTCATACCTGTCCATGTCTTGGCCGCTAACGCCGCACCCGTCCTGCCGTGCAGCCAATCAGCGTAAGCCGAAGCGGCGGCTGACGCGGAAGCTGCCGCGCGCGCGGCCTCAGGTGCGTGCTGCCGCCGCCGCCACCGTGCCGCCCGTGCAGCTGAAGCGCACTGTCGCTGGCAAGGGCAGGAAGCCGGGCCGCAAGCGCAAGCTGAACATCTCCGGCCTGGACGTGCTGCACAGCAAGACGCTGCTCAGCACCACGCACATGGGTGAGTGGGCGCGCTGGCGCGACGCGGCACGGGGCGCGGTGGAGGCGGCCTGCGCTCGTCGCCCTGTCGTAGGGCAACGCTTAGGGAGGTGCAGACACCTTGCTGTCATGGGCGAACGCGCTGATGCTCACGCCCTGCCTTGGACGACCCGCGCTCCAGCGGTGACCCTGCGCTCCTGTGGTGACCCCGCGCTCTAGTGATGACCCTGCGCTCCGATGATGACCCGCTCTCCGATGATCACCCGCGCTCCGATGATGCCTCTCGCTCTGATGATGACCCGTTGTCCGATGATCACCCGCGCTCCGATGATGCCTCTCGCTCTGATGATGCCCCTCGGTCCGGTGGCGACCCACGCCCCGGTGATGACCCGCGCTCCGGTGGTGACCCCGTGCTCGGCCCCGGCGGCAGTGACGGCGCCGGAGGACGTGGCGCCGGGCACCGTCGACCAGAAGCTGTCGTCTGTGGCGCTGGGCGGCGTGCTCAGCCACCAGGAGCTGCCGCCGGAGCTGACTGCCGGCGACGTGCCGTACGGCCTCCAGCTGCTGCTCGAGTCCATCAAGAACCAATATATGCAGTTCATCCAGCGCATGCAGACGGCCGACTTCCGGCGCTCCGTGGAGCTTGATATCGAGCGAGAGCGGGTGGGTGACGCCCTGCGCCGGCGGCCGCGTGCTGGCTGGGCGCGTCGCGACCGGCGGCCGCGCCGGCGACCCCGGGGGAGACGCTTGGACGAGAGCAGGCCGTGTTTTCAGGTGCGCGGCTTGCTGAGAGATGTGCAGTAGTTGTTTGAAGGCTTCCTGTGTGCAGGGCGATGCAGAACTTGATGGAAGGGCTGCCAGCCGCGCGCCCTCTCCCCCCGACTCGCCGTTGCCTCCGACCTGTTGATGACCGAGGTATGATCCCCTGACCCTGGCCAGGTGCGGCAGCGGGAGCTCAAGGGACGCACCAGTCAGCTGGAGGCGCAGATCGAGCACCTGAAGGCCGAGAGCCTCGGCTTCCTGAAGCGACGCATCGCCGAGCTGGGCATCGAGGCCAGCAAGCCGGAGGAGCTGATCGTCAAGGCCAAGGAGATTGTGATGCGCCACCGCGAGCTGCAGGAGCGAGCCGCTGCCATGGAGACGGAGGTGAGAGGGCCAGAGCGGCCGTCTGGGGACGGCGGCGAACGCCCGGCCACGCCGGCTGGCGGCGGTCACAGCGGAGGTCTACCGCTGCCAGGCCCGTGTCTGCGGACAGGAGGTGTAAAGGTTTAGTGTAGCGTGGCGTTTCAGCGCAGGATACCATAGTATCACACAAGTGTAACACAACGTAGTGCATCATAGCACGAATGTAATCATCATGCAGTGTGGCACAATGCTAATTTAACGTAGCATCTTGCTTACAGCATGATGCGCATAACTTACAAATTTACGGTTGTTGTCTTGAACTGGACTTTGAAGGGACTCGTTGCATTCGTTATATTTTTGCCGTGGGAGAGACAGTGAGCCGCCATCAGTTTGTATGTGTTTGCTGGGGGTGGGAGGGAGGGGGGAGGTGTGAGTGCCGTCAGTACGGGGGTGTGGGGGTGTGACTGAAACCCATCAGCCGGTGTCCGGGGCTGTGTGTCTCGTCAGACTATGTCTCCAATCACGGGGCTTGCGGCCGGCTTCCGTGACTCAGCGGCCCTCCGCCGCTCCGTCGTGCCGCGCAGGTCGCTACCATGGAGCAGCACCAACAGCAACAGCAGCAGCAACAACAGCAGCAGCAACAACAACAACAGCAGCAACAGCAGCAACAACAGCAGCAACAGCAGCAGCAGCAGCAGCAGCAGCAGCAGCGGCAGCGGATGGCGATGACCCAGCCGAGCCCGGCCGAGTCGGAGCGGCCGCCTCCGCCAGCGGCCGCCGCAGCCGCTGCCGGCAAGGAAGTATGTGCCCAGTTTGCGGGCCGGCTGGTGGAGGTACACCGGACCGGGCGGGGCCGGGCGGCTGTGCCGGCCTGACCGGACCCGCCCCGTCTCGCCCGGCCCGGCGCCGTGCCGCCCCGGCCTCACCGCTGCTGCATGACGCATGGTGGTGGCGTTTAACCGAGAGCCGGCCTGATCCGGGTCATATACGCTTGCTTTGTCTTTCACGAATGGCGTGCGCTGCGTGGAGGACCACGTGCGTGATTACGACGGTGCTGGCTGGGTGGCAGTGACGCTTTACCCTCCCAGTTGGGTCCGGAGTTACATGTGTAGGGGTTTGTTGTAATTTAGATTAGACTCAAATGATCGCCAATCAGTTGTCATAGCTTTGATATATCTTGATCTCATGTGTTCAGAAGTGTGAGAGTGAGGAACTGAGATAAACTATAGATTTGTGATAAAGTACAGGGTTTGCTGCTTTTCTGGTAGCCGCGTTCGACAACGGACCCTTTTCTGTCACGCTTAAATGCATTTTCGAAGGCTGCAGTTGATTGGCCCTTGACCGTCGACCGCCCGCTATTAACATTTCTTTTGATGTCACTTCGTTCTTGCTTTTGCTGTATGATGCTTTTTACCACCTTGACTCGGATGCTTTTGTGTGGCTAATTATTGCATGTTTCCACGCTGTCTGGTATTCGGCCTGTGTCGCTTTGAATCTTTCGTTTGCTTGACAGATGCTTTTAACGCCCCTGCACCTTGACGCCTGATGGGCAAGCTGAATAAACGTTGTGATCTGCACGATTTGCGTATTGCACACTGGTCAGACGGGCCACCCTGCACAAACCCTGCTGGACCCCGCTTGTTGTATGCCTAGATAGGCTCCACTGGCCCGCCTCCCGTCTGTCGAAACCCCACGGACGGCTGGCAGCCCCCCTCCCCCTGACCCCTCCCCCCCCCACCCGCGTACCCTGTCCCCTGGTGACGGACCCGGGACCACTGGTCCGGGCCGATAACGGGCTCCCTCCACGGGTGCAGAGATGCGGCCAGCTCCGATCCATTCTCGGTCTGGTGTCTGAACGGGCTGCGGGTGGCCCGTTGGGGTGTTTGGTGATCTGGCGCCCGGATTGGCCTGGTGTTCGGTGTTCAGATCGCTGGCCGCCTGTGTAGCCTTGTTACGCCTCGGTCGGTATTTTACCGGCCATACCACACTGCTCTGCGATATGGTCGTCTGGAACGTACAAGTACGGTTAGTTTACCGATAGTTGGGTCGTGATGCGTTCAAAAGTTACAGCAGCGTTCACTCAGATGTTGCGTACTGCGAGAATTGCGAAAAATGGCAAGCAAAACTTGAAACACAATTTGGCAGAACATTCCGGAACGGACATTGGGCAGAGCGGATGACAACATTCCTTTACGTGCGTTGACCGAGACCTGTTGCCTGCCAGGGCGGAAAGGCCTGATAAATTCGATAGCAGGTTTATCGATGTTCCTTTCTGGGAAGACTATACGTCCTGCGAGACGTTTCCTGCATCAACGGAGATGCCAGTCAACGTTACCTGCTGGCTTTATTGACGTTCTCCGAGTATCCGTTGACAACGGGGGAGGGGCGTGTTGTAACATCATATGGTACCGAAAACAGACCTATATTTCGTATGCTATTTAAAAGGCCAAAGTCAAAACTGGCCGCAAAGGGGTGACAGCGCCGTTGTACATGTTTTAAGGTACATTCAAGGTGCTCTGCTTATCACGCGTTGCAACCGAGCGGTCAGGTCAAGGTCCATAAGGTAACGTCGCCCGTACAAAACGGGTGGCTTAGTCTTAGCACTAGATCGATATCAACTATTTAAGTTTAACCTGCAGTCTCCTTCAGTCTCTGTATCGCCTGAAGCTGTTCCGTGACCATGGCCTTGTCCTCAGATAGCCTAGCACGAATGTCAGTTGCTCAGTGCATATGCGAGGAACATTATTGACGTGGATGACACAGTAGTAAGAGCCCTGTTCCGCGGAGAAAACCATGAAAATGGAGATAAGGATAGGTTACCATCTGTGTGCCATTCTCATGGTTTTTCTTCGAGGAATAAGGCAATTACTACTGTCCTAACCTAGCATTTAGTCTTAATTTATGGTGATATTTGCAAATTTCTTAATTTATTGCAATGGTCAAACATGGATACTGGCGTTCCACAGGATTTGACTGCAGGTGAGCTGTAGACATGACTTGACTTATTACATCAACATCGACCTGATGTAGTAATGACGCACGACACGAAGTTAGCCGCGTAACCACTCACACCTTAAGAGCCGGCTGACATGAAAATGTGGAGCGCGCCGACTATTAAACCGTCGCGGAGTGCCGAGTTTCATGTTACCGTCGTGAACGTCCGTGAGAACGAGGGCTGAGGTCGGTGAGGTCGAACGTCCGGTAAGCTATCCGCGCAATACCGGAGGAGCTGCTCACCCCACCCGTCCTCGCGATGGTTAAGCCGCCGGCAATTCTTGTCAGCTACCGCGTTCAGACGCGTCACATTGCGTATGGAGAAACGACGGGGTGGTAATGACCTCAAGAGGAATGCGGCGCATTGTCTCCCGAATCGGGAGTGTGCGCGCCACGGACGTGAAGCCTTATTGAAGCCCACGCCGTTTAACACGCGCGCGGGTGGCCGATTGAATACCCGTCTCTTGATTGGGCGGTGCAATTTGACCACCCTGCGGCCTCGAAACAAGCGAACTACAGACATGAAATTCACAGGGTGGGTCGGCTTGCATGTGAACTCACTTGTGCTGAAATTTGAGGTTCCTAGGTCACTATCTTCGGCTCGAATGAGGTAGAGCAAGTTCAAACTCAGGATTGGTGTCCAAGTGCCCCCAGATCTCGTCATGTGACCGCCTTAAGCATGGGCGACTGTTCTGAGCATAAGGTCACTGGTGTTCATTTAAGGTCAGTGGCCTTGTTTGACTGTACGGATGTCATAGTGACCAAAATCCTACCGAATGGCTTTGAGTTTTGCGTCTGAATAAGCGCCAAAGGCTTGCGCTTGTCGATATGCTCCTAAAAACAAAAGCTTGACCTGAAATCCATGGAAGATGTCTGCTATGGTCCCTGTTATTAAATTCCAAGTGAACACCAGAATACTTCGAAGAGCTTTCAAGTGAGAAAGTAGGTTGGTCTTGACCTCGGTCTAACCTTCATACCTCCCCCCAGGTCAATGGAATTTGTTGTCATCTCAAATTTAATTGTTGTTTGCTTACAAAACTATCTCAGAGATGTATGGCCTCGTCGAACACTCCGTTGTCACACCGGATTGAACGATACCATAGAAAGTGCCTTCGCTTACAGCCACGGCCTGACCTTGACCCGCCCATACATTAAGATCTTAAAGGTACAGCAAACGTTATCATCCCAAAAGATCCGCCATTCAATCGCCTGCAGCCATGCAAAGTGTTGGATCTCGAATCTCCCTCCACCAACCCGAGCGTGTGTTAAGATACCCTGATGTTTGGCTACGCACATATGCAGGGGTTTTATTGTTTCTTGATTGGGCGTGGTAGGGTGGTCTTACAGAGACCCTTTTTATGTTGCTGCGCTAATGATAAAGTCATATCGCACGCTGTCATTCGTTTGGCCGACGCTTACGAGCTCTCATTCGTTGGACGAGTTCGGTCACCTCCCCCCCCCCCCCCCTCCATTCGGCGATCCGACGTTCCATATTTGGTGTGGAGCCGACGACAGGGGGACTTACCAGGTTGGAGGGTAGCCAGAACCGGGATGGGGGTGGAGAGGAATGTGAGCAAACTTTCGACGCGCTGGATGCAAACCATCAATCGAACTGCGGGGCCTGCTCCTGCCTTTCCGTTGTCGATACCCCTGGTAGGCGTATTGGGCACGCAATGCATTATTATTGCCCGTGCACTAAAATATTCCATCAGGTTTGTAATACCATGCGATCTGCGCGCACATAAGACTATGATCTTGTACGCAAGTTGCAAGGGACGTATTGTAGGCTATGTGACTTAATTTTTCAAACGATTGCGGTGTTAACGCACACCACAATGAAAACAGTTTTTCACGTACACAAACGTAACCTTAAACGCTCAGCAAGGTGATAGCCACGGACCAGTGGACGATAATGTCTATCAAGTCTGCAATATCTCAAGTGTTAATCGAACGCCGTTGGTTGCCGTCGGCACCACAGGGGGCCGAGAGTGAGGCTCTTGTCAAGTCCCCGAGCTGTTCAGCGGGTGCACTCAGAGTTTGAATCATTGCAAACTGTCCGTCGGCCCGCACATGGCGCCTACCCCCTGTGGTCTGAACACGCAACCTCTGACCTGGCCCTGTGCCTGACCTCTGCGCCGGGCCGCTGACCGCCGTGCCCTGTCGCAGGACACGGTGACGCACGAGCTGGTGATGCAGGAGATATCGCGCACGTTCGCCGCCCGGCGCCGCGTCCAGGGCGAGATCCGACTGCTGGAGAACGAGGTGCAGATGTTGGAGCGGTCGGCCGCCGAGAAGCAGGCCAGCCAGCAGCTGCAGCTGGCCGCCGCAGCCGCCGCCGCCGCTGCCGTCGCTCCGCCGTCTGCCGGCCACCAGGTGTTCGCGCCGCCGCCGGCATCGTCGTCCGCCGCCGCCGCCGCCGGCGCGCTGCAGGCCGGCCAGAAGGCGCGTCACAAGAGCCGCAACCAGGAGTGGCCCAAGGTGCCCGACATTGGCAAGATCCACGAGAAAAACCCCGAGCTGCTGGCGCGCAAGATCCTGGAGACAGGTCGTCAGATCGAGGCGGGCAAGATTCCAGTGATTCGCAGCTCGCCAAGCCCGGCGCAGGAGGGCGCGGCGCGCGCTCCGCCACCGCCGCCGCCGCCGCCCCCTCCGCCGCCGCCGCCCCCGCCGGCCGCCCGCCGCGAGCCCGAGCGGCGTGGTTTTGGCGTGCAGCGCGTCCACGAGCCGCCCAAGGTGAACAACTTCGAGGACCGGCTGAAGAGTATGATCACCTGCTTCCTGAACGAGGACAAGCCGTCGGAGGAGGGCGGGTTCCGCGCGGCCGGCGCGGCCTACCCGCCGCCGGGCGAGGAGGCCGCCGGGCCGCGGCTGCTGGGCCGCCTGCCGGCAACCCACCAGCCCGACTACACGCAGTTCTCGCCTGCCAAGCTGGCGCTGCGCCGCCACCTGTCCCAGGAGCGGCTCAACACGGATTCCGAGCCCGGCCACGCCGCGCACAAGGGCCCCGTCCACGCCGCCGTCGACATGAGCTTCAGCAGCGGCAGCGGCGGCGGCAGCGGCAGCGGCAGCGGCAGCGGCAGCGGCAGCGGCGGCGGGCCGACGGTGGGCGTTCTCACGTCGCGCGCCATCGAGGAGGGCCTGCGTGGCAGCAGCAGCAGCGGTGGCGGCGGCGGTGGCGGCGGCGGTGGTGGTGCGCCTGACCGGAAGGTGGCGCCGCCGGCCTACTCGCCCATCTCGCGGCCGAGCAGCGCCGAGGCGGCCGCCGTGCAGCTGGAGGGCCTGGCCGACCCGGCGCACTTCCGCGAGCTGAGCCGCGCCTCGCCGGCCGCGCCGCTCGCCCCGGCCGCCTTCCCGCCGCGCGCGCGGCCGGCGCCGCCCACCGCCGGCCACTCGGCGTCGGGTGGCGCAGGCGGCGCGGGCGGCGCAGGCGGCGGGTACGAGGCGCTGGCCGGCCTGCCAATGGAGGGCCTGGCCGCCTCGCTGCACGCCCGCTACGTGCGCGACGAGCCTGCGAGCGTGAAGCGGCCGGCCGGCGCGCCAGCCACGCCTGAGCCGGGCCCGTCGGCCGGCAAGCGGAGCCGACATGAGGAGCGTGCCACCACCGCCGCCGCCGCCCACCATCGGCCGCATGACTCCGGTAGGTGGCCCACTACGGCTCCTGTGTCGCTTTCCTCTGATTAGGAGGTGGATGTGCGACACACTTTTGGACTTTACTGCAGCGCAGTAAATGTGTTCGTTGCGATCGGTTCCTTAGGGCAGATGCGCATGTCCGTGGTAGACGTTACTTTTATAGCAACGCCATCTTTCATGTAATACTGTTCATCGGCGTCATGCGCCGATCTGTTCCCTTGGAACGGGACGTCAGCGCTTCCCCAGACATGCTGTAGCAGCGCTGCTGGCATTCTACCTGGTTTGTTCTCGGCCTTCCACTGGGACGCTGAGCCGTGTGCGGTAGCCTCATGTGGTCACTGGGTGTCGCTCCGCAGATCAGGTTGCCACTGGGTGTCGCTCCGCAGACCAGGTTGTCACTGGGTGTCGCTCCGCAGATCGTTCTCAGTCGCCCAGCGCCGCCCAGAAGGACATCAACATGGACTTTGAGCGCATCTTCGCCGTGGCCGACGAGATCAAGCGGCGCAAGTCGTCGGACGGCGCGTCGCCGCGCTCGGCCGGCGTGTCGCCGGCGCACCGCAGCTCGCCACCGCGGCCGGTGGCCGCGCCCGCCGCCTCCGGCCACGACCTCACCATGGCGCTCAAGTTCAAGCGCTCGAGCCGCGCCGACGGGCGCGTCAGCACGCCGGAGCCGGCCGGGCCCGGCGACGACGAGACGCACCAGTACGACCACCACTTCCGCAAGAAGTTCCCGCACTCGCAGAGCCGGTACTGGTCGGGCCGGTCCGGCGCGCCGGCGCCGGCGGCCGCCGTCACGCTGCCCACCATGGCTCCGCTGACCAGCTTCAGCTCCCACCTGGGCGGCGGCGAGCCGGGGCCGAGGCCCCTGCTGGCGCCGCGCGCCGGCCAGCCGCAGCACACCGCGCGGCCCGCAGGTCAGTGGCGGGTCGACAGAGGGGCAGGCCAGCAGGCCGCGGACGCTCGGGTGGGGCGGCTGCAACAGGCGGGGTCGGAGAGCCATGCCAGGGGTGTGGTACGTCTCGCGAGGTTTTTTCGTGTCTCGCCAGTCGGATGTGAGTGTCGTGACGCGGCACGTAGCCGCGCGATGGCGCGTGTGGTGATGGGGAGAGGCTGTCCCCCGTGCCTTTGACGTCACGTCCCGCCTCCCCGCAGGTGCGCCCGGTGGTCGGCCGTAGTGTCGCCCGCCCGTCGTCATCAGCTACTCCGATCGAGCTGCCGTCCCGTCCGGCGGCGGCCCGCCGGGGCCGGCCCCGCGTGACCCCCCCCCCCCCCCCTCCCCTCCCACTGCCAGAGCCGCCGAGACGCGGCCCCCTCCGGCGCAGCTGCATTTACCGAGCGCCGCCGCCGCGAGCCAGCCGCCCCCCAGCTGACGTGCAACGAACGAGTAGTCGAGTGAGCGGGTCTGTGTTAGAGTCGAGGCCGGACATAACGGAATGCGGTATATGTTGTTCACTGCCACTTTGTTACTGGTTAGATGGTCTATGTGCGTGTGCCGGCGCCCGCCCTGGGCGATGACGTGACGGTGTATTTTGTACGGTGTGGTGTCCGCTGGGGGCGGCCCCCTCTGCTTGATGCGGGTTCGCGCGGCAGCCTTGCCGCCCGGTGCGCGGTCCACCCAGTGGTCGGTAGCGTGTGTTAGTCAGTACGCCCCGCCTGCCGTATTCTGTTGTTTCCTCGCCCGTTGAGTTTAGCGCTTGTTTTACACGCCGCCGAGGTGTGCCTGGGTTTGAATGGGCATTCTAGCGGGAGGCGGCCGGCCTCGGCGCCGGCAGGCACCACACGCCTCATTACTGAGCTCAGTCCAGTTGTTACCGCTCTATTTATGAGGTGCGGCCGGCGCGTGGCGGCCGGCCGCTGTCCTGTGTCCGCCGCTTCCGTAGAGCCATAGTGGGTGGGTGAGCCGCGGGGCCGCGCTCCTGTGCGCGCGCCCCTGTCGGTCAGTGTGTGTTCACCGGGCGGCCGGCCGGCGCGACAGCCCGGCTGGGGACCGCGCGCCGCCGGTCCGCGCCGGCTCTGTCGCGCCGGCTGTGGCCGTGGCTGCGCTGGCGCTGGCGTTCGATACTGCCTTCCTCATTTACACCATCTTGAATTTTGCTCAGTCTTGTCGGGTAGACTTCTAAACGAGTACAAATTTCAATCAGCGTCACCGAGCCTGTGTTGCAATCATAGCCTCACGCAATGTATGAGTTACGTTGGGTGTATTTTAGAGCATTGACCTCTCCATCACTGCCAGCCGTGGGTGAGCGTGTTTTGTTGTTTATATATTGGTGTAATAATAAAGTTAACGCCAAACGTCCTGAACTGCTGTACGCGGCTGGCTGCCGGGACCCGGAATCTGGGCCAAATGTCCTGGGCTGCTGTGCACGGCTGGCTGCCGGGACGCGCGACCTGGTCACGTGCATCACTTCCGTGGCCAAATAAAGCCGGACTCCATCAGTCAGCGCGCGCATTTGGGTACCACCAGGCAAAAGGGACCATATGCGATTTGCAACAATCCCGTCTGCGCCGCACGCGTCCGCGTCGCACCGGTGCGCTGATGCTGAGGCACGAGTGGGTCGAACGCGCTCAGGCCAAAGTGCGCCGAATTTCCAGATTGAGTTGGGTTTAAAACTTGTTTATGTGGTAATTTTGTCCCAAATGATCACGGCAGCATCAATTCCTTGAAACTGCCCATCCATGCGATGAATATGACGACCTATGCCGATATCATGGCTCTCGGATCTACGGCGTGAACACGCTGAAATTGCTGCCGGGGTACCGCTGCTACGTCCGACGTATTAGGAGTCACGCACATCTTTGGCAGTCCGGATCTCGCCCCACAGTGAGAGGTGAGATCCAGATTGCCAAAAACGAGACTGTCATGACGAGCCTAACGCCACCTGTTGACCACCATGGGAAATGTCGCGTTGGTCAGATTCGGCACGCACCACACATGCACCATACTTACGCCTCTAAGGACGCATTCTGCGCCGCCTGAATAGGGAAGGTAACCTGTGAACTGCGCGGATTCGGCGGGATGATCCGTCGGGGAAAACGACCAGCGGAAACTCATTCCCGAAGAAACGTAGCGCTGTTTAGCAAGTTTATTTCACAGAGGTTTTAGCAATCCCATAGCGACAAAACGGAGGCACGTCATCGACGACAGCCGGCTGACCGAGCGGGGCGGGGCGTCCGATCGATCGCGGTGAACCGACCTCAGGCACCTGCGGCGTGGCCCCAGCAGGGGCCAGAGCCGTGCGCCGCTGCGCTGCCGGCGGCGCAGCGACGCGCGGCAGTGGAGGGTGACAGCCGGTCCCCTGCGCTGTCGCTGCCGCTGTCGTGCCGCCCTGTCCCTGCCTAACAGCACGCGCTTGGCGGCGCCGACCGCACCGGCTGCTGCACAGATTGACTGCAGCCAGGGCTCTGCCCTTTAAACTGTCAGGCTAGGGGCACAGGCTCGCCCCCCCCCCCCCATCCTGTCCACGTGTGATGACCTTTTGTACCATCCAGCCTCGCGTGCCGGGTACGCGACACCGGCGGTGGGCGACACGCGCCCCGGTGGTGACGTTTGTTAGTGGTTCGCCGAGCTGCGGTAGGAAACTGATGCTCCAAACAACAACTGGCGAGAACACGACTGTGCTCAGAAACGGGCGTCAGTAAAGTACGACCGAGGCCGCGGTCAGTCCTGCGCCCAGGCGTCCGCTTAAACGGCGTAGGTCTATTTCAAGACCGAGGTGCTCGCACCCATCGAAATTCTAAACCGCAAATTTTCAACCGAAGCAGGTAACACGTGCACACACCATTAATAACGCGTAAGCGCTGGCTCGGCCACCGCATCGTGTCGACATAGTCTACCTAAAAACGTTCGCTGCCCGTTTCTCAAGCTGCATTCGACATTGGCTGCCCGTTCTCAAGCTGCATTTGGTTGTTAAAAATCGCTGTGCGTGCGTCGGACACGCAATACCATCGATGAGTCACATACACTGTTTATCCAGCTAGACAACGCAGCAGACATTAGTTTCTTAAATCCTAACACATGCAGTAAACAATTGTTATCCTCCGCGTGCGCATCCTCAGCGTTCGCACATTCATTAAACAAACGACCAAAATCAGCCGCATCGGCCACTGTTAAGCGTCTTCGGTTGGCACTTGTAAACATCAGCATGCACCGGAAAGCTGTGACGACGTCACGGGCGTGACGCGACGACTTCGCCATACGGCCGGCGAGGTAGGCTAGTTCAGGCAGTATGCATTGCGAGCGCTTTGCGACCATGGCAGTGTAGACGCATTTTAGTTGTACACCGCCGAACCGGACCGTCGACCCACTAGCAGCTCGCAACAGATCGTACCTATCAGCCACAGCGTAAAGACTAAACAAAGCGTCGTAAAAACTACGGGGAACCTGAAACCTACACAGATCCAACAATCCTGCCCAGGTTAGTTGCTTCTCATGCTGAATAGCTTAAAACCCTGTGGTGAAGAACGCGCCGGACGGCGACGGCCCCGGCCAGGACGACGGCCGGATGTCACACGCCGGTTCGGTCGCGCCTGGCGAGCCACAATTGCACACGAGCGGCGACCGGGCGGGCTGCTGCCGACGCCACGGCCCGTTTGTACGGTGCAGCGGGGGTTATGGACGGCTACTGGTACCAGGGCGACTTGCGGACCCAGCGCAGCCGGATGCCAGCGTCTGTGCGCATCTTGATGCTGGCCGCCTCGGCGGCGCGCACTGTCTCCTTGACTGACTGCATCAGGTTCTGGGCGTTGCCCACCAGCATGTCGGTAGCCTCTTGGTCCTCCTCGGTGCCTGCCGGCCGGCGTCCGTTATGCTCACGCGACAAAGCCTGTTCACAGTCGTCCTCGCCACGTTTGCCAGCCTGCACGGAAGCATTCTGCAGGCCCGTGGCCGGCTGTTCATGTGGCATGATGCGCTGGGGTGCATTTTTGGGCGAATTTTCTAATGCTGCCAGCAGTTATAAAAAGTGAGTGATGCAAACGGCGGTGCATGATACAATGAATCGTATGAGAAACAGACGGACATCCAATTAGCTTTTGAGCTATGGATCCAAGGACACTATATGTTTAGTAGTTGTTGATGCTCAGCTAGACCATGACTTAAAATTTTGGTAATACTTTATCATGATATATTATGACTAATGATAATAATAATATATTATGACTTACAATAAAGTGTTCCATCACAGTTCATATCGCAAGAGATGTCTGTAATACCAACTAGCCCGACCAGCCAACCAGACAGTGAACAAGCTCTAAACTGCGATTTGCACCCACGCTTAACGCAGCCCAAAGGTCGTTAAGGCTTGCTTCTGAAACAATCTTCCCTAAACGGATAAGAAGCCACGTTATTATGGTTAGTGGTGTAAGACATTGGAGCGACACCATCGCCGAGTGGCTCGCATGTAAGCCACCGAACGCATGCTCAAATATGCCGTATCGCAGGAAAAACGGCAAAAGCAACTGGACGGCGTACAAGACACAATGGAACCTTAATCGTGCATATCAATGAGCATATACTTTTCTGCAACTATAGAATACAGGTCAGCTAAGAGGCAGGCACAACGGTGTGTGATCAGTTTCAAGGCATATTGGTGAGAAAACTTCACCTACATGACTTGAAACCTACGCTACACACGCCATCTGCTGACTGCGCCATCGATATTTTTGTTGTAATTGCCTCCGTTCGCATAAACCGTGGCATAAGCAGCACCTTTGCATAGCCGACCGCTGGCTGAAGTTCTACGTCAGCTCCAAGCCGCATGCGAAGGTGAGACACTAGTTCGGGGGCATCACTAAGCAACACATCCGCACTGTCAGCCGACGGCCACAGTCACGTCTCGTCAACTCCAAGCCGCATGCGAAGATGAAACAACACGTCAAACTACCAGCCTACAACGCGCCAGCTCGTGAGTGTGTTAGCGCCCAGGCGTGCACCCGCCCGCCGCGTTAGGTCACGTTAGGTCAGCGCTGCCGGTCATTTACCGCTCGTCACAATGCCGTCGGCCCGCCTGTCCAGCTGATCTGCACCTGGCCACGAGAAGGTACCGGCGGCGTCAGAGGGGGCGACCGCGGCGGCCGGCCAGAGGACAGCGACACCACGGGCCGAGCCCTCCCCCCTCCCTCCACCCCTCACCCTCCACCACCCCCGGCACCCGAGCGAGGCCACAGTCAGCGGCTTGTGGCTGCTTCTTCGGACTCGGGACGGTGTCAGTTTGCGCAGCCAGGGTACCGATGGTGAAGTGGCTAGGCTACACGTGTGGTAAACCGGAGGCAAGGGGCT